AAAAAAAAAAAAAAAAGAGTGAGGAGAAGACAGAAGGTCAGAAAGGTGGTGAGGTGGGGGCCCGGTATCAGCATGTTGAGCTTTTAGGCCAATGTAGCGATTGACTGCTAACTCTGAGGTGAGGTTAAGGAGTGACAGGACCTGTGTTTTGCAAAGGTCACTCTAGCTGCTGTGTTGAAAAGTCTGTAGGGAGGTGGGAGGGGGGCCTGCAGGGAGACCAGTCAGGAGCATCAGGTGGTCGGTTGGTGGAAAGCAGTCAGATTCAGGATGGACAGGATGTGGGATGTGAAGGGGTGAGGCGCCACGGGCAATGCTGAGGTTTTGCCAGGGTGCAGTTTTGGTCTGAGCACCGGGAGGGGCGGAGTTGCTGTGACCTGACATGGCGAAAGGGACATAGGAGCTCCTCTTGGGACATCATGTTCCTTGTTGCATAACAAGGAAGGCACCCCCAAACTTAGAAACTTAAAACAACAGACGATATCCCCCAACTTCTGGGGGTCAGGGAGCCGGGAGTGGCTTAGCTGGGTGGCCCCTGCACAGTCTCTCGCCGCAGTTCCATGTTGGCCAGGGCTGCCGTCCTCCGAAGGTCCTTGTGGGCTCGGAGCTTCTGCTTCTTACTCGCACAGCCCGCTGTCGGAAGGAGGCCTCGGTCCGTCACGTGAGCCTCACCACAGGGCGGCTTCCCCCAGAATGAAGGCTGAGAGAGAGAACAGCTCACCCAGGTGAAAGCACAGTGTCTTCGTAACCTGATCTGTACATGATACGCCGTCCCTTCTGTCACAGTGGGAAGGGCTCACAGATAATGGTCTCTGAGAGGCCGGAGCCGTTGGGACTTTCTTGGACTCCAGACGCTGACAGGTGTACCGCGGTGCCGACGGAACAGCGCACTGCGAGGTTGCGGGAGAGTTAGAGCAGCAGTCGTGCTGAGGAGCAGGGTGTGGCCTGGAGCTGAAGTTGGGCCCGTCAGACCCTCAAGCTGGTCGGGGTCACCCAGAAGGTGGCCATCTGGGCCCTGGGGTGCCCCGGCGTTGAGCAGTTGGGAAGAAGAGAGGAGGCCGAGGAAGACTTGGAGGAGGTGTGGCCAGGGAGGAGGGAGGAAAGCCCAAGCCCAGAGGAGGTGGCCGATTGGGACCCTGGGTCTCCTACCGCTGGGCCTCAGGTGAGGCCCATGATCTGGAGGCCCTGGTGACTCTTGACAGGGGCGTCGGGGATGTGGGCCTGCAGCGTTAAGAGCCGAGCAGAGAAAGAGAATTAGTACCGGTGAACATAGACGGCTTTCTGGAGATTTGTGCAAAGAGGGAATCAAAGAGATGGAGTGGTGACTGGTGGGAAAAGAGGGTTTTCGAAAGACGAGTGGGAGAGCAGGGTGTTGCCCGCCGGGGCGGAATCAGCCAGTGCAGCAGGCTCGCCAGCCGCCCCCACTCGCAGCCCACTGAGATCCACGGGAGCTTTGTACGCCCTCAAGGTTGCGAGAATTCAAGAATTCCAGACTGCGTGTGGCTGCGAAGGCCAAGGCAGGTAGTTGCTGTTTGGCCCATCGTAGGAACGTTTGCAACTCTCGGGTCAGAGAAGTGTGTGGGGTGGGAGGTGAAGCGGATGGGGGGAAGCTGGAGAGGGCTCCTCAGGTGGGTGAGAGCGCTCGGGATCAGTCTGGTCATTGCTGTGGAGCAGGCTGCCCTGGAGCTTCCAACAGCGGTCTGGTACCACGGACGCATACGTCTGTGAGTCCCTTGGGGGTTTGGACAGGGCACAGTGTGGACCGTGGAGGCACCTGGCCTATGCTCTGTGAGGTCTGGGCTTCCACTGGGTGACTTGAAGGGTTGGGGGCAAGCCGGGTGTGTCTGTCTCTGTCTCTCTGCTCCTCTCTCTCCACGCAGCTGGCTTGGTTTTCCTGGCATGGTGGCCTCGAGGTGGTTGGGCCTCTTACTTGGAGCGCTTGCTTACGCGGAGGAAGAAGCTGCCAGTGATCCCAAGGGCCGGGCCCTGGGGAACCTGGTCCCCCTTCCGCACGGCCTGTTGTTGTTCAGAGCTGCCTCTAGTCCAGACTCAGGAGGGGGGCGATGGGCCCCGTTGAGGCTGTCTTCAGTCTGCCCCCGTGGAATCTAGTGCAGGTGGCTGCAGTGGGGTGACAGGAGTGGGGAAGTCCTGGAGCACAAAGCGGGTGGGGATGTGTGTGGGGTGGGCAGTGTGGCTGGGGCCTCCGTCCTTTGGGTGAGCTGGGAAGCAAGGGCAGTTCTGTCAAGAGGCAGGGGGTGCAGAGCAGAGAAGCTGTGTGTGGGAGGGGGGTGAGTGCGTGGCCTGGGGCCGCCTAAGGGGTGCAACTGGGCAGCAGGAGAGGCCCCTGTGACCTTTGGGAGGGAAAATACATTGTGGTCGATTGAAATTAACAGAAGCCCCAGCTAAATAGAAAATAGATCACGGTTATGGATGGAAAGTCTCCACGTCGTATAGATGTCAACTTTCCTCAGGTTAACCCATAAATTCAGTGTCTTCGAAGTGGCAGTAGGTTTCTCATTAGATTTAGTAATCTGATTCTCAAATTTACATGGAAGAGCCAAAAATGAAGAATATCTGGGATAGTTTTTAAAAAATTTTTGAAGTTTATTTATTTATTTGGGGGGGGGTGTGGAGAGGGGGAGAGGGAAAGAGAGTGAGAATCCCAAGCAGGCTCTGCACTGTCAGTGCAGACCCCCATGTGGGACTCGAACCCACGAACTGTGAGATCATGACCTGAGCTGAAACCAGGAGTCGGAGGCTTAACTGACTGAGCCACCCAGGTGCCCCTAAGATGATTTTAAAATGACCAACGGGCACTTGCCCCATAGGACTGTCGAGAATTTTGTGCGTTGTACATGTGTTATTAGGTACATACAAGACAAATTTAGAGTAATTTTTGGGGTTGCCTGGGTGGCTCAGTGGGTTGAGTGTCCAACTCTTAATTTCAGCTCAGGTCATGGTGCCAGGGTTGTGGGATCAAGACCAGTGTCGGACTCTGTGCTGATCATGGAGCCTGCTTAAGATTCTCTCCCTCTGCCCCCCCCCATTGCATTTTTTTCCTCTCTCTGAAGTAAAAAAAAAAAGAATAATGTTTTAATTTTGAACTGAACTTTTTGTGATGAAATATCCCTTTTTGCCTTTTTGTTTCTAATATTTTTTGCCTTAAAATCTAGTTTGTCCAGTAGCAGTGTAGCTATCTCAACTTCGTTCCCGTTTTTTGTTTTTTTGTTTTTTGGGGTTTCTTTTGACGTGAATCTCTACACCCAATGTGCAACTTGAACTCGCCACCCGGAGTTCAAGATCGAAGTCCGCATGCTCCAGTGACTGAGCCAGCCAGGGGCCCCTCTTTTTCTTTTTTTTAAATCTGTGTCCCTACATTGAAAGTGACTCCACAGCAGATAGTGGGTGTTATCATTTGGCAGTTTCTGTCCCCTAATTGGGTGTTTGGCAGATGTACACTTAATGTAATTTTGTGTGCACTTGAGCTTGAATCACTGTCTGCCTCACTGTCTTTCTAACCACACCCTCATTCTTTTTCCTTTTCTGTGCTTTGTTTTGGGTTAGTGAGGACTTTTTAAGTCATTTTATCTTCCTTTTGGCTTTTAGTTACGTGTTTCATATTATTTTCTAGTGATGTTAACAGTTACGCTAGGCCTCCTGGATTTATTACAGTTTGGCTTAGATGAGCATTTTTGCTGCTCCCGGAACAGTATAAAATCCTTTATACTTTAGCCCTGTTTATCTCCCTGGGCCCCTGGTTTGACCTACGTTATCAGCCCTGCAGTACGTTATTACTGTTTTTAGCCTCTCAATTTTACATCATTTCAGACTCGAGAGAAGTTTCAAGAGCAGAAATTTCCAATGTACCTTTACCCACAGTCCCAGATGGAACATTGTGCCATATCTGCTTGCTTTCTTCTCTTTTTTTCCCCTAAGCCTGGAGAGTAAGTCGTAGACAGGAGGCCTCTCAGCTCCTGGAGGTCAGCGCGTCCTGTGCACCCTGACAGCATGGAGGTCTGTCTCTTGCAGAGCCACAGAACAATGGTCTGATGACGACAGTGACACTGGGAGAAGGCCAGGCCTGGTCAGATCCTGCCAATTTACCCCGATATGATGTCTTTTGTAACAGAAGATGTCTCTTTGTATAGTCACTGGGCTGCTGGCTTGGATGGCGGGGTTCCCCCCGGAACATCACTGCGTTTCCCGTGGTAACTACTAAGTACCTTGTGGGACATATTTTGAGGTTGTGTAAACGTTGTCTTACTCCTCAAACTTTCATTTACTCCTGTTGGTTCCACCGATGGTTTTTGTTTCGGCTGCTTTTCCTGCCTCTTCCCTCTTCTAATTGTGTGGGCTTCCTGCCGCCAAGAGTGCTCCTTTCTCCCACGTGTCCTTCATCCCCTTATATCCTCCCAGCCTTATGAGCTCTTAGCAGCTTATAATCCTTTTTTATGCTGGGCTTTTCAACCTGAAGAACTTCCTTTAATAATCCTGCAGGTTTTCTACTGG